GGCCAGGCCCTGGGCGCCACCTGTGCTCCCTCGCTCTCTCTCTCTCTCTCCCCCTCTCCCTGCCTCAACCCTCCTGCTCTGTCCAAACCCCTCCACCTTGCCTCATCACCCAGCCCAGCCCTCATGTTCCTCTGCCTCACTTTCCATGGGCTCCTACAGAAAAGCACTCCAGGAGAGGGCACTAGACGGGAGAGGAGGATGGGGCCAGCCTGAGGCCAGTACCGTTCGGCTGACTCACCCACTTCCGCTGGCATCTGAGTCTAGTGCCTAGAGGGGGGTTACGTGGTAGGGTGAGGGAGAAAACCCAAGCTTCTTGAGAACGTGCCAAGGCCAGTCGGGGTGAGGCCGAGGAGGGGCCCGTTCCTGCAGGCAGGACCACGGCCCTAAGAGGACTTGGATCCCCACCTCCCCAGTCTCAGACTAGTCCATCTGGGTGGCCCTGCTCTCAAAGATGGCAGGGTCCTTCAGGGGAGGGGCTGAGGTCTCTAGGAGACAATCTTTTGCTGCTCACAGCCCTTCCAAGGCCCAGGCTGCTGGGGGTTGGGGTGGGGCTCACTGGGATCTGGGCCCTCCTCTGACACTTCTCTTCCCCCTTCTCTCATACATCCTCCTCGAGGCAGCAAGGAGGATAGGGATCGCTGAGTGACATTCTTGCCTAGCTGCAGTGCGGGAACGGCCCCTCATGGTGCTGAGAATTCTCCATCGGCTAGGGTAGGAGATGCCAGATGGGCAGATGGAGAGACCAGGGGTGCTGGGCACTGGTTCTGGGGATGGGTTGAAGCTACAGGACCAGATTCCAAAGGACAGAAGTGATGCTGGAAGCAGGATCAGATTGAGGTCAAGGACCTTCTGACTTGAGCTCAACGGGGAGGAATGGGGACCTTAGTTCTCATGGGGCTGGGCCTCTGTGGGTCTCCATCCACCTGACACTGAGACGAGGGAGTGGAATGAGTCTAGCAGCCCCTCCTCAACTCTCCCCAGGCCATGGGACCCAGGGGATGGGCTGCAGGTCGTCCCTCCTTTGAGCCAGGTGGCAGAGGGCAGGAGATGGGACTGGGGCATTGACACCACGTGCTCCTAACCATTGTTTACATAAACTGCAGGATGAGCCCCAAACTGTCGGAGCATTGCTCCCCTAATGAGACATTAACAGGTAATTAGGCGCAGTGGTTCCTCCCCCGCCCCCGTGACTCACAGAAGACTGACGCTTAAGTCAGCGATGCACCCATGCTTTCTTTGCCTCACTCTGACAGTGCCTCAGCCAGACCTGGCCTCTCAGGCGTCTGTTCATTCTGCAAACATCCAGGGGTGCCTGCTGTGCGCCATGCACTGTTCTAGGCACCACGGATGCAGCGATGAGCAAGCCAGACCCAAATCCCTGCCTTCAAGGAACTCAAATTCTGCTGCACGGGGACAAACAATAAATAAACCAGAAAAATATGTAGTATGTCAGAGGATGAGACGTGCTATGGAGAAACGGGGGTGTAGGGAGCAACGTGTGTGCATGCCTGCATGTGCGCGTGTACACGCTCAGCACAAGAGATTGTAAATAAAGCAAACACTTGAAGGAGGGGAGAGAGGGAGCTGTGAGCAGATGGGAAGGAACAGACAGAGGCAACCTTGGGTGCAGGGGCCCCGGGCTGGGAGTGAGCCTGCCGTCCTCAGGAGCAGCAAGGATGCCAGCGTGGCTGCAGCAGAGTGGGCGACGGGAGGCCGTGAGGTCAGGGAGGGCCTGCAGGCAGTGGAGAGCGATTGCTGGAGGCCAAGCGGAGGAATGACCTGACCTCATCAATGTTTAACAGGATCACTCTAGCTGCTGTGGTGTGGGACACAGACTGTAGGGGCAGCACCCGTGCGAGGCCATTTCAAGAATCCAGGTGGAAGGTGATGGCGACATGGACCAGGAAGTAGCCGTGAAGGTGGAGAGAAGCAATCAGATTCTAGATAGAAGGTGAGGCCAACCGGATTTGCTGCTGGGCCAGTTGTGGGGCGTGGGGAGAGTGAGGAGTCGAGGTGTCATCAAGGCATTTGGCCTGAGTGACTGAAAGGATGGAGCTGCCACTTACAGCAACAAGGAAGGCTGTGGGAGGAGCAGGGGTTCAGGGGAAGAGCAGGAGCTCAACTCCGTGCACATTAAGTTTGAGGTGCCCATTAGATTTCCAAGTGTGGACACGGAGTAGGCAATTGGCAAGTCTAGTGTGGGATTCCAGGCTAGCGATGTAAAATTTAGGGTCATCATCATAAAAGATGGTATTCAAAGTCTTGAGACAGTCTGAGATCCCCTAGGGAGTGAGTGTGGACGGTCCATGGCCCCAGAGCCCTCCAGTGCGACCCGGGAAGCAGGAGGAAAACCAGGAGAGCTGGTGCCTGGATACCAAGTGAAGAAGATGCTTCTGGGGGGAGAGAATGAGCAATTGTATCAAATGCTGCTGAGAGTCGAGCAAGATAAGGACTGAGAAATGACAGCTGGATTCAGTCACAGGGAGGCCATTGTGGACCTCGGAGAGAGCGTTTTTAAGAGGGTAAGAGAGAACGGGAGAAGGACTGAGTAGAGAGAAGGGAGGAAGGGAGGAGAGGAATTGGAGAGAGTGTAGATTCCATTTTAAGGAGCTTTGCTCTAATTGGGGGGGCTAGAGGGAGATGTGGATTAAGAGTGTTTTGTGTGTTGCTGTTTTTTCAGTTGGGAGAAATTACAGCCTGTTTCTACGCAGATGGAGATAATCCAGTAGCGAGGGCAACACTGATGGTGCGAGAGAGGGAGGGGGAACACTGCTGGAGAGATCACCCCAGCCTCTCCCCACTTCAAGCCAACAGAAGTTGTCCTCTTTGAGGGGGACGATGGGGGTTCTGGCAATGGCACCAGGCTGGGCACAGGACACCTGCGTCCTGTCCTAAATCTGCCCCTTACTGGAGGTGGGACCCTGTGCCAGCTCCTTAACACCCGGGACTTCAGATGTGGAAAGCGGGTCTTCACATGTAGAAAGCAGGTCTAACAGCAGCACTACCTCCCTCCCTGGGTTGTGACGGAGATCCAGTGAGGTAATAGGTGTGAAAGTGCTTTGTAAAATGTAAAGGGTGGAACAGACGGTTGGGATTATTTTTATTATTCTAATAATGCAAGGGGTTATTAAAGAAATTTAAAGGATTACTGTTCATCCAACCCGACTTGTACACACAGCCTCCCCGTATAGCTGACACACGTGCTGTATCCTGATCAGCGCGAAGCCAAGTAAACTCCCTGACCCTTCATCAGCCCTCGCCCTCCTCCCACTCTGCCCGGCACGGACCCCTCTTCTTCCATTTGTCCCTGGCAAACGCTGTCCTCTGAGGCCTCCCCAGTCTCCCTCCCCTCAGTCTGACCCTCCTTCCTTTCCTCCTAGCCGACACGCCCCCACCCCAACCTTTTCATCAAAATTTGTCTTTAGCAGGTACTGTGTGCAGGAAAGAGTGCTGATCAGAAGCCAGAGAAGTTAGTGAAGCAGGATGATCAACCATCCTGGTTTGCCCAACCTTGGAGTTCCTAGGGGGTTCCCCCAAGAAGTGAGACTTTCAGTGCTAAAACTGGGAAAGTTCTGGGTAAACTGGGATAAGTTGGTCACCCTAGTCTTGACCAAGGCCAATCACACTTAGTTGATTTACCATTATCTTGCAGGGAAACCTTAGAAAAATCACTTAACTTCTTTGGGGTTAAGTTTTCTCATCTCTAAAATGAGAGGCTTGAAGTTTCACTAGACCCCTTTTTCAGTCCTGTCCAGCCCTCAGCTTCTGAGCCTGGAGGCCATTTACTCCACAGGTATTTACTGAGTGCCACTATGTGCCATGCACTGTGCCCTTCCTGCTGACTGTGGCATCCTGGGCACACAGCACACACCTCACACTTTGTAGGTGCTCAATAAAGACCTGTGGAAATGAATGAATGAATCTACCACACCTCCATTCCTGGCTCGATCCCTATCCACACCCCCAAAGATCCCCCCATCTCTGCTCCCCCACTCTGTCAGCCATAAGCCTCTGGAACCTGTGATTAAGCCCAGAACTCTGACCAGACTGAGCTGAGCTGAAAACAGTGAGGGAGAGGAGAGTCTGGTCACTGCTCCCACTGGCAGTGGATGTTTACCTTGGATGCCACCCCACCGCGTAAGAAGATGTCACCAACACAGGCTTGCCCTGGAGCACCATCACATTCAGGTGCTGGGAGCCCACTGAGCAAATGGCCTGTGTTGGGCTGCTCTAGGCAGACATCTGCCCCTGGTCACCTTCATCTCCTGGGCATCTGCCTCCAGCCACCCCACTCCCTTCCCCACCTAGCCTCAGACCCTGAGTGGGGCTCTGGAGCCATCTGTGCAGATCCCCAGTCTAACCCTCCACTTCCAGGATGCTGTCTGCTGTCTGCAAGTCATTTAAAGTCTCTGAGCTTCAGGCTCCTCATCTTAATCTGAGAACAGCAGAACCTAGTTTATAGAGTTATGGTGAGGATTCAGTACGTGTGCAGAGCTTGCTGTGGGAGAAGCAAGTGCTCAATAAATACCAGCTATCATTGTTATCATAACCATAATGATCATCATTAACACTCTCAGTCTGGTGAGGACAGCCACGGACAAGCTCAATCTAAGTGCATCTGTCACAGGGTACCTGGGATCTCCCTTCCTCCAAGAAGCCTTCCCAGATTACTCCCAGCAGAGCAAGGACTAACTTGGTCCATGCGGCTGGGACACCCTCACTCTCCCACCCCCACAAGCAGCACTGAACCTCCCCAGGAGTCAGGGGTACCTCTTCCCAGCTCTGTCTAAAGCATCAATCCTGTTGTTACGACCTTCCTTGCCCCTCTGCCCAGGTCAGCTGGTCTGTCTTAGAGACCTGACAGCACTGAGCCCCTCTGCGCCCACTGGTACTTCACAAGGGTTCAGAGAAGAGGACTATGAGGAAGATGGGGATGGTGGAGGGACCTGAGGAGATGGTGGGAGGCTGAGAAGGCAGGGCCCCCGGGAGGCCACACTCACCAACGTAAACACGCCTGCTCCCAGCACGGCGTACACTGCATGGAGCCAGGGCACCTGCAGGGCAGACAAAACACGGGCTCAAGGATGGCGAGATGGGCAGTGCGGCAGAGGGGCAGGGAGAAGGGATCAGTCCGAGAATGGAGGGTGTGGCACAGACCTCCCCAGTGGGGGCCCTCTCTCACCCCCCAACCCTGCCCCAGACTGAGAGGTCCTTAATCCCCTGCGTGCTCACGGTGGGTGGGGGAGCCCCAGGGTAACAGTGATCCTGGAGGGCTGGCAGGGGAGGTCCAGACGGGCCAGCACTTCTTTCCTCCACACACAGCCCCAGGCTCAGGCTGGCCCAGGGTGACTCATCCTGTGGGGTCCCTGCCATCCTCCCAGCCTGGGTCTGGCCTGAGGCTGTGCCCTTCTCCCAGTGTGGACTCATCCCTGTGCCGTCTGTCCCCATGTCGGGAGCTTCCTGGCTCTGCCTGTGTGGGTAAAGGGGCTCAGGTAGAAGGGGACAAAGACTTAGGCCCAGGGGTTGGGGGGGCATCTGGCATCCCTGCCAGCTGTGCTTGCTGGGATTCCCTGCAGAGGCTGGAACAGCACCCCTTCCCAACCTCTGCTCCCCCCAGGCCTCAGGGGCACCCAGCTGAGTGCGGAAACCTTGCAAGAGGTGCCAAACGAGCCGTGCCCTCTGAAGAGCCTTCCCCCAGAAGACTCCTGGAAACACAGGCATTCCATCAGCCTGACCCGGGTCGATAAAGTGTTCTTGGAAGCTCTGGGGCCCCTTCCTGTACCCCTCCCCCATCCTAGATACACAGAGGGCCCCCAGGCCAGCTCCGGCTCCTCCCTTCGTCAACAGGATCCTGGGAAGAGCCAAGGAAATGCCAGAACCAATCCTGACGTTCTGGACTGGGAAGCAATAACCTGGGGCTGGGCAGGATGGGGTACGGAGGGGGAGTGAGGAATACTGCTCTCAGCCCGGCAGAAAAGGGGCAGTGGGGGACCCCCGTACTAGAGGTAGCTAAGAGGAGCCCGCGGCAGGTACAAGCCCTGAGCCCTCAGCATGGGTCCAACAGCTGCTCTCTTGGGTTCCCAGGGTTCAAACCCCCTCCTGTGATGCCCTCAGTCTGCCCCTTCTCCACCTGCAGCAGCCTGAGTGCCTGGAATGGGTCACTGAGCCCTGAGCAGTCTTAGTGGGATTTCCCAGGCAGGCCGGACACTTCTTAAAGAGCTGAGATTCAGCTGTCCCCATGGACACCCTCATGGGGCAGGGGTATGCTCGGAGCCCCACTGTCCCATTTCCCGTCTGCCTGGACAGCCAGATCCTGCCTCTCTGCACTTGACTGATCCCCCAAGAGGCCCAGGAAGCCCTTCCTCAGGGCCCCTCTGGGCCTGGTGGCCCCATGGAGCTCCGGAGCCCCCTCCCCGGCCTAGGGTTTAAATGATCTGAGCCCGCCCCCTCGGCCTCACCTCCCCGCTAGTGGAGAAGATGGGAAAGGTGAAGCGGATGTGGCTTGTGGAGTGGGCAGGTGCCCAGACCTGTCAAGAAAAGCCTCGCTTCGTTGTTTGTTACACTGCCAAGCAGCCCAGGGCAGGTGCCAGGAGGGGCAGGACAGGATGGCAGGCTGTGAGCCCTTGGCTCGCGGCCTTCCCTGGAGGGTGTAGGAGGAAATAGCACCCTCGGGCCGGCAGTCCCACCCCCGCCATCCCCATGGGGCCGGCTGGGAGACCTGGAGACTCACATATCGGAAGGGCAGGAGGATGGCCAGGACGAGTCCACTGAAGAAGAGAGTCATGAGCAGCACGAAGAGCACACCTTGGCAGGACGTGAAGTCAAACTGCAGGGGTGGGACAGGCGTCAGCTGCCGGGGCCCTCAGGCCTGCACAGAGCAGCCCGGCGTTCCTGGGGGCCCCGGCTGGGCAGTGTGCTGGCCAGAAGGCCGAGGCTTCGGCAGCAGGCCACCTTCCCGTGCTCACCCCAGAACCCGCTGTTCCTCCCCCTCCCATCCCAGGCGGCCTCCCCAGACACTACGCATGCCTTTTACCTCCCCCAGCTGGGGAATCCAAGCTTGCAGCCCACCGCACCCGCCCCCCACCAACCTTCCCCAGCCCGAAGGCCCCAGGGCTGACCTTGGTCTGGAAGCTAAAGACGGTGACCGAGAGGCAGACGAGGGCCGTGATGCCCAGGCACAGCAGCACAGATGTGGTGTTGTAGTAGCTGCAGGACGGGCAGGCCAGGGCGTCGGCTTCAGGGCAGGGCTTCTGGTCTCCCCTTGCCCTCCTCCCAGGTCCTCCCCTTCTGCCAGGACCTGATCCCACGACCTCTGGCCCCCAGCCTCTCCCCTTTCCCAGGATCCCCCTTCTCTCTGCCTCCTCATCCTTTCTACTGGGACCCACCCTCCCCAACATGCTCACACTCAAAATCCTGTTAGAAGGATCTCGAAGAGGTGGGAATGGGGGTGGGGAGGGGTTGTGCTGGTGCCTGGAGGTGGCTTACAGGGAACTGTGTGATCATGAACCTGGGGTCTTTTCAGCTGCAGCTTGAGAGGTGTCACCTTGCTCTCCTCCGTCTCCCACCCCCACTCACCAGCCTGGCCAGGTCCTGGAGGCCGAGTGCGGGAGAAGCGCGCTCTAAGCCCACGTCTCCTGCCTGCCTGAACGCCCACCGCCCCCCCGCCCCCGTCCAAACGCTCCCCGGAAGGACTGTGCTTGGGGCAGCTCCCCTCGGGGTGTGGCCAGCCCCCTTCCGCCTGGCCCCTTTACCTGGACAACATCCCAGTGAGGTAGGCCATGGACAGGGTCTGAAAGGAGAAGCAGGATGAGGGAATGCTGGGGGCCCAGACACCTTCAAGGGCCAGCCTGGGTCTCCACCCCTTGTGTGTACCCCTCAACTCTGAGTCTGCTTTGCTCACACACACATTTACCTCCAGGATTTCTCCCGGTGAAGGAGGTCCCAGCTGTCCCTTTCTTTTTTCTGCAGCCCTGCTCGTCCCCCTTTCTAAGATTCACACCCTCCCCCCACCCCCAGCTCTTGTTATCCATAGCTCTAGGAGTCCCCATACAAACCTCTTAAAAACAAAATCACAACAGAAAGAGGGAGTGGATGGAGTGGGGAGAGAAAGGCTATTTGGAAAGAGAGGGTGGGGTGTCTTTGCAGAAGAAGTGGGGCGAAAATACCCCTGCCACCCCCAGTGACCGCACATCAGCTACCTCCAACTCCTAGCCCTCGAAGCTCACCCTTCAACTCTCCTCCCCCCATCCCCACTCAGTATCTGTCCCCACATCACTTACAAAGATGGTCAGGAGGATCAGGTTCCAGGGGAAATGCCTCCTGTAAGGCAAGCCACCGAGTTCAGAGGAGAGAGGGGGCGTGCCTGCAGCACAGGCTGGGTCATGCCGTAAGAGGGCTCTCCGACAAACTCATCCCCACTCCTCGGAGCTTCTTCCTTCAGCCACATCCCCATGTGCCCCCATCTGTGCCTTCACCCTACCCCCCACCCCGAGGTGCCAAGTAAAGGAGGGAGGGGCAGGCCTGCTTGATGGAGCCCAGAGAAGGATGGGGCCGTCTTAGGGGTGCACTGGCGGCAAGCAGGACTGGGGCCAGGACTTCCAAGGTCCTGCTCACGTTCCCACAGCCATGCTGCTCCTCAAGCCGTCATCATACCTTGGTCCAGAACAGCAGGCCAGGGTCAGGTAGGTCGCGAAGAAGACGGCGCTGTGAGAGACAGACGGATGCGAGAGCTGGCCGCCCCTGAAGGCCCTCCACCCAGGCCCCTGCTCGCCCCACTCTCTGCCACCCCTGCCCACAGGGCACCAAGCAGGCTGCCACGGGCCAGGGGCAGGGGTTGGTTAAGCGCACGATCATCTCAGAACCTTGCAATGGGCAGGGCGATGGTGTAATTCCAAAAGAAAGGAAGGGGAGTAAGATGAGCCTGCTTCTAGAAATACTGAATCTTGGGTGCCATGTGGTAGCTGACCACCCAATGCAAAGTGGTTCCCCCCAGACAATATCTTATTACTTATATATATTTTGAAAAGCTCATATACAGTGTTCTCTATATGCCAGGCAGAGGGCTACATGCTTTATGAGGATTAGCGAATATAACCCTCATATCTTCTCTAGGAAGCACGTTCTTCACTTTATAACTGAGGCACAGTGAGGCCAGGTGAGCTGTCCAAGGTCATACAGCTACCACATGGCAGAGGCAGGGTTAGAACACAGGCATTCTCCTCCAGAGTCCTAGCTTATAACCACTACCCCATACTGCCTCCTTTAGGCCTTTCCCTGGCCCTGTCACTACCTACAATGATCTTGTCTGTCCTGCCAGCACCTGGCACAGCAAGAAGTACCTGTGGCATGAATTTCTGGATCAGGTGGCCGTATCCATTGGGAGACTGGCAGGAAGCTCAGGTGAAACCCAGAGACAGGGGTCGAGGATTAAGGATTTTCTGGAGAGCAGTGGAGGTGGAGGCCAGTCCAGGAGGTGGGACATGAGGGCTGAAGACCCAAGGCTGGGGCATGCTCATGTCTACCTAGATTGGTGCCAACACCAATGCATGGTCTCCAGCTCTCAGTGTGCCCTCAACACATGGCACCTGTCATCCTTCCCCATCTCCCTCCTCGGTTCTCTCACCCATCCCCTACAGCAACAATGCCAACCATCCTCCTTCATCTGCAAACCTCCCAGGCTGCCTCACTCTCCTGCCTGGTCTGGCCTGATGTGTCCCAGAAAGATTCGAGATGAGGTGGGGGGCTCCACTGGCTCCCTGCCTGCCACCTGCAAACATCACGTCATGCATCTATGTGTCCTTCCTCCTGTCCCTCCTCCCATCCCAGGTGAATCCCCCCAAGCCTCTGGGTCCCACACCCTCAACTGCCCTGCCATCGACTGCTACATCTTCTCCCTCACAAACCTCCTCAGCTGTTCTCCATCTTTAACCAACATCTTTCCCGGCTCCAGCTACTGCCACTTTATCCACCCTCACAGCCAAGCTTCTTGAAAAAGTTGTCTCCACTCACGGCACCTTCTCCAACTCACAATTACTCCTCAACTTAACAAACCAGCCCCTGTCCCACTTAATGAGAGCTGGCTTTGTCACATCACTATGACTTTGTTGAGTCCAACTGACACTTGTCCATCCTTATCTGACCTGGACATGCTGACATTTGATCTCTCTCGTTGTTTCCCTGGTCCCACAATGACACAGCCTTGGGTCCCCTCCTACCTCCCTGGTCACTCCTTCTCCATCTCCTTCAGCACAGGGTCTCTCCCATCAGACTGTCTCCCTTCATGATCCTCTTGGGTAGGCTCACTCATTCCTAGGACTCCCTTTATCAGGCAGATGCTCATGACTCACACACCATATTTCTGATCTAGAATTTCCTTCTCAAACTCAGACCTGAATAACCAACTGCCTACTGGGCAAACACGGCTGTTAGGCAGCAGGTTAGAGCCGAATCTGCCCTCTTCCTTGCTCCTTCTCCGGCATCCCCTATTGCAGAGGATGTCATGCAGCCTCCGAGTCACCCAACCAGCGACCTCGGTCAGCCTTGACTCTCACCCTGCCATGCCCAGCTAATCACTTGGACCTGCTGATCCTCTACCCAGGCAGTTCTCAAATCTGTCCCGTTCTCTCCATCCCCACGACCACCCTTTTAGGTCGGGTCATCTCTGTCTATCTGGTCCTTCTGCCTCCAGTCCTGCCTTCCACTCTCCAAGCTATAGGCAGATCCCATCATGTGACTCTCCTGTTTAAAATTCCAAAGACCTGGTGATGCCCTGCCTGATCCGCCCCCCCGGCCTACCTCCCCAGCCCATCCGGCACCGCACTCCGCCCCTCCATCTACCCTCATTGCCCTCTGCACCCTCACAGTGTGCCCACCGCTCTCTGCCCCCACTGGAAAGGACCGACTGGCGAGGATGCCTGGGGCTGAGGCTGGAGGGGTTTCCTCTGTGCACCACGGGCATAACTCAACCAAAGCCTGCACCCCACACCCCATGGGTCTGCTCATCTTATCCCCACCCAGATGTAGCACCTGGAACAACCTATTGTCCAACCCAGGGCCTGGCACGGCTTAGGCAATCTTTAATTATTTCTGGGTGAAATGTGAAAGCACAGGGAATGTAGGGGTTGAGACGAGCCTATTGGATTTGGTAAATAGGAGCCCTCCATCTTCACCCTCTCCTATTCTTCAGTAGTTCTCAAATGATGCATCACTGCTGTCACAGTGATGGAGGGGTTCTCAGTGCCAGGGCCAGGGCTGCAGGCCATCCTGTTCCATTAGGAACAGTGGAGTCGTCCTGCCCCAGTTGTTAAGAAATACCCCAGCATCTGCTCTCTTTCTGTCTCCCTTGAGTCACCAGTCACTTCGACAACAATAATAATAATAATACCCTTGTCTATGTGTATCCTGGTTGTGAGGCCTGTCTCCCTGGCCAGACTGGAAGCTTCCTGAGGGCAGGGCCCAGCCTCCTTTTCTCTCTGGTCCAGAGCTCCTCAACCCTCAAGACGAGTGGTCGGGAGGAAGGGCAGAGGGACGGACGACCTGGAGCGTATGGGCCAGTTTGGGAGCCTGACCCTCATTTCACATCCCAGCTCTGCCACCACCATCATGTGACCTTGAACAGCTACTTAACTGCAGAGCTCCAGCCTCCTGCTTTGTAAAACGGGAATGCTGGTACCAACTCACTGGGTTGTAGCGAGGACTGAATGAGAGCATGCAGTCCAGCCTTGAGCACAGAGCCTGGCACTGGGTAGGGACCTGAAGATGGGAGTTGTTATTATTATAACTAGAACCTGGCTAACTGACAGCTTCCTGGAGAGGCTCGGACCCACCTCCCCCAAGTCTGGTCTCACACTTTTCCTCCTCTGTCTGGTCCCCCCACCTCCACCCCACAGCCCTTACTCCTCCCCCGCACGGTAGGGAGGCCCGCAGTTCCCGCTGCCAAGGCTCAGAGGGAGCAATCAGACAATAAGGGGAGAGCCCACTGAGGGAGATGATTGGGGCCTGCAGAAAGAGTGGGCGGGGGCAGGGGGTGGTGCTGGAAGGCTGCCATCCCAGGGAGCGAAGAATAAATCACAGAAGAAGTGAAAGACAGACTTGCTTGTCAGAGCCTGGGCCTCAGGGCCTGAGCTAGAGCCGTGGTCTGTTTACAGAATGTCAAGACCAAGGCAGAGGCTCAGGTGGAGGCCAGGGTCCAAACCCAGTGTCCTCCCCCAACTTATGATGCTCCAGGACCAGTCCCAGGCTGTGGGGAAGCAGCAGAGCATGGAGGGGAAGTGCATGAGCTTCTCAATCAGAAAGACAGGGTTCAATCCTGGCTCTGCTGCTTAGGAAGCAACCTCTTCTCGCTGAGCCTCAATTTTCTCATGTATAAAATGGGGATAATAAGGCTTCCCTGGTGGCGCAGTGGTTGAGAATCTGCCTGCTAATGCAAGGGACACGGGTTCGAGTCCTGGTCTGGGAGGATCCCACATGCCGCGGAGCAACTAGGCCCGTGAGCCACAGCTACTGAGCCTGCGCGTCTGGAGCCTGTGCTCTGCAACAAGAGAGGCCGCGATAGTGAGAGGCCCGCACACCGGGATGAAGAGTGGCCCCCGCTTGCCACAACTAGAGAAAGCCCTTGCACAGAAACGAAGACCCAACATAGCAAAAATAAAATAAATAAATTAATAAATTCCTACCCCCAACATCTTCTTTAAAAAAAAAAAATGGGGATAATAACTGTATCTGTCTCGTAGGGCTGTTGTTAAGGATCAAATGAAGAATATCTGCAAATCACATGGCACAGTGCTTCATACACAGAAAAAGACCTGCTTTATTCTTACTGCTATTAAGGGCTTGGTATTTGGAGGACGTGAGACCCACTAGGTCTCACACCCAGAGGCAGACTCAGGACTGTATAGCGATGTGGGGAGGGGGCAGGATGGGGCAGAGCAACAGGCTGGCTTTCTAGAGAACAGGGCAGCATCTTGGTGGTGAATTCCCAAGCACCTTTAAGGCTTTGCGACGCTCCATGGAAAGCACACGGTCCATGCCCACTTCCGACTTCTCTCCACACCCACCCACCCCTGAGTCTGGGACAGCATCTGTTTTCTGCCTGGAGATGCTGAGGAGGAAGGACCTCTCACCATTCAGAGGTCAAATTCTCACACCATTCTCAGTGGGGTGGACTCTGCCCTCAATTCTAGAGCCTGCTTATTCTTGGACCGTCCCCCTGCCACCATCTGCTTAGGGCACAGAGTCCCAAAGACCCTCCCGCAGGAGGCCTGACGAGGGGCCTGGGGACCGCATTCCCGAGGTGGCAGGGCGCAGAGGCTGCCAGGCGGTGCTGATGTGCTGGGAGCCATGCCGACCCGCCACGGGGGCTGGCCGGGGTGGCAGTCCCTGGGGCCTCATCAGTTTTAGCCTGCAGTGCCCCCCGTCCCCCAAGACGCCCGCCTCCCTGCCTGGTCTGCAGACAGGCCCTCTGTCCTGTGCCCTAAGAAAGGCTCTGGGTGTGAATGTCTCCTCCCCTGGGATCCCCAACTTGGCTGAGCTTCTCCTCCACTCCTCCGGGGAGCCCCAGAGGCCAGGATGTCTCCTTCCTGTCAGGCTTTGGCTGGCTTTTGTTAACTTGAGGCCCACTCTGGGACTGTTCTGGGCTCGGGTGGTCCAGGAGGCTCTGGGCTGAGCCTACGTTCCCACCAGACCCCCATCCAGGAACAGGCCTGGGACAGCTGTAGTGTGCAAGCTCCTTGGGTGGACATTCAGAGCCTCCACCCCGGAAGGCCTCGCTTCTCTCTGGGATGTCCCGATTCCCCTCACGGAGCCTTGCAGTGCTCCACCAGCCTGGTCCCTAATTTACCCAACGTACCACGTGCGCTCCCACTCCCAAGCTTTTGCTTAAGTCACCCCAGTCCCCAGGCCCCTTGGCTCATCCTTTGAGGTGCACCCGCTGACATGGACTGAGGGCTCCCCCTCCTCTGAATGCTGCTCTTTCACAGGCTGCCTTGTATGCCCACCACCTTCCCCTGCAGAGGCCTCCTCTCCACCAGCTCCAGTTCTGGCCTGGGCTCACAGTGGGTGCTGAGGGAGACTTTGCTGACAGTAGCTCTGCTTTGAACAGGGTGGTCCGGCCTGGAAGTATCCAGAATGACTCCTTAATTGCCCGCATAGGAGGGTCAGAATAACCTCTCAAGTTACCTGCCATGCTCCTTAAAGAGTAGAGTATATAAGCAGAAGCCAACTGCTCGAGGGGAAGGGAGTCTGCCAAGTAGAGGGATTAAGAGTACAAGCCTCAACCTGAATCTTGGGTTTGAATCCCAGCTCTACCACTGCCTACCTGTGTGACCTTGGGCAAATTACTCAACCTCTCTGAGACTTAGTTTTCTGAGGAGTGAATGCAACACTGCATATCAAGCACGTAGAACAATGCCCAGCCCTTATTAGGCATTTATAAGTGGTAGCTCTTACGATTAATAGTTCACAAGCATGAGTAACAACTACGGTAATATTGAGTAGCGACATTATCGTTAGTGTGGGCCAAGGTGTCCCAGCCCCCCTCTCCTCCAAGCCAAGGTCTGGGTCTCCCTAGCCATGACCCCAGTTCCACCCTTCCCTCCTTGGGCAGGCACCAGAACCAACGCCCATCTCCTCCCCTCCCCCTCAGCTCCACACACCCCAGAAGGCCCCTTCTGGCCATGCTCTTATGAGGCAGTTCCTATGGGATGCGGAGAGGTCATGGGCTGGGATTCTGTCAGCGGAGATTTCCCACCTTGGCTGTGGAGGGTGTTCTGGGAAGGGGCCTGGGTATACTTACTAGGACGCCCAGTACCAGCCTGGGTTGGCCTGGACATAGTCCTTAACGGGGTCACTGCAGAGAAGGGAGGGAGAGAGAATCAGAATTTACCCTCTGCCTCCATTTCTAGTTCAACATCTGCACCTGCCCCCCCCACCCCCCCCACCCCCCGCCACCACCCCGCCACCACCCCCACCCCCCCCACCCACCCCCACCCCAT